CTGAACGCAAGAGGGTCGATCGTCCATTGGTGAAGATCTCGTAATTGTCGGACGAAGAGGTTCTTTAACAATTCAAACGAGACGCTGACAACCTTCGTCCGGCTGGATTGAGTATTTCAAGAGGAGGGGAAGATCACTCTTCGCCTCTGATGGTGAAAATCGAAAGCAGGCTTGGTATTATTTCTGTTGAAAGCGCGTGGTTGTTCGAGGAGAGCTAAAGCGTAATTATCAAGGTAGTCGACAAGTATCACAGATTCGTAACGCGTGGATTTCCTCGAAAGAGAAAGAAAGAAATTCCTTTTTCATTGGTTTCTGAGTTTGCAGAAACTTTCGGAAATAAACACGTCACGATCGTGTCACGTCGTGCGAAGAGCATGAATCAGTCGAAGATTCATCGATGGGGAGGTGTTTTCGGAGGGAAGCCCTCTGGTGAAAAATGAATTTCCATTTGTTCGAATACGTCATGCGTGTCCATCGTGAATTCACCGGATTCAAGAGATCTATTTTTCTCTTCAGCTATTGATCTCTGCTTCGTCGTGTTGCCGATCAGCTTAATGTTTCCCCGTTGGATTGAGACCTCTCTCAGGGTAGAAAGAGATCGCCGACACATCCGATGAATTTTCAACGCGGTATTGTTTGTCGATTCGACACGCGTGAAAAATATCTATCTGCTTTCAATTGTTGCCGCGATAGTTAGTTTCGAGTAATATAATTTCTATCGTAATTAACGTACGTTTCTATTTCCTTTATTTTCGAAGAAAATTTACACTGCTTGCGTGACAAAATATCGAAGAGCTTCGAATATTTGAAGAGCCAGAGCAGCAAGCAATTAAAGAAATGCACGAGTAGGTGCATAAATGAAATATGCATTAGTCGTGCGGCAGTAGTTTACATTAAATTAATGCTAGTGTAATCTCACTGGCCGCCGTAATGTTAATAATTTCGTTACGCCTGATGACATTTTAAATGAGAATCTCACGACGCTGCTTCCTCCTGTGCTACGCTATTAGAGTTAATAACACAAAGTCCATCGTCCCTTTTCGGGTACTACTCGATAACTACGCGACGCATCTGCGATTCTCAATTGAAGTATCAATTTTTGAAACATTCCTTTCGTCGAAGACGCATCGACTTCAAAGTGAGTCGCGTAATCTCGAGCGTGATTTCAATCTCAAGCGAAGGCTGTCCGTGCCCTCGAATCCGTGCAATTCTTAAATTAGAATGCTGGCAATAAAAGCTGGGAATCGAATCTCTCGAAGAGCGGTCTGCTCGCGAGATCTTCTCGCGCAGAATAATTCACGAAAGGATGCAATCTTCGTTCGGAATGGCCAAGCAAAGGTAGGAAACAAACGTTCCTCGCTTCGCAACAGGGATTCAAGAGAGAGAAAACGCCGGGGCAGCCACTGCAGCAGCAGAAACTGCAGTTCGAAGGATGATTCGGACGGCGTTCGTAATTTATTATCGGGAATGGAAACCGATCATACCCCCCGACGTTTGACGCATCGGTTCGATTATCGTTTCAGAATTTATTCCTATCGAGCAGCAGTCGCGTGGCTACGCTGTAAACTGATGCTAGCGGTAAGTTGGGCCAGATCCTGAATAACAAACGTGCATAACGAATCCGTTTAAATTCGTTACGATAACGATTCGTCTCCGCGAATCTGTCGTATTTTATAGTGAACGCGAACGCGAAATACTCGTCGGGGCGAGTGAAAATGTCAAACGACGGTTATGTTCCCCTAATTTTCCCCGATGCCCCGAAAAATAGAACTCGAACCAAAGTGGAAGCGTAGCAAGTTGGAATTTTCATTCGAATCAGAAGCGTTGGAGGAACAGGTACGTTAATTAATTAGGAGAATGAAACTTTTCTCGCAAGCTTTCTCTTCCTTTTGTTTTCTTCTTTATCTGTCAACGAAGAGCTTAGTTCTTCCTTTGATTTTTCTTTTTTCTTCTTTGCTCGTTAATCGATCTCGAATTTGGACAAAAAGAAGGAAACGGAAGAAGAAATAGACGTGCGAGACCAAAAGTAGAAGTTAGTCTCATCATGTTAAATTTCGTTTAATCGCGACTTTCATATTCAACGCTCGCTAGAACTCGCGTTTCTTCTCTCTCCTCTCGTCGATTGTCCTTCTGCGGAACGAAAGTCCTCGCGCGACTTGCTCTCGTATCGTCCGAGTTTTTCCCCCATCTCGTTCGAAACTGCGATCCTTGTTGATTCGTCGAATACGAGCGCCGTATTGTAAAACGCTTTGGCTGACACTTTTTCACAAAGAGGGAGCCGCTCGGAAGCTGCAGAAGAAGTTTCACGCGACGAAGGGACTCGACTGTAGCGTATTTCATCTCCTCGGTGAAAAGAAGTAATTACAGTTATTTCGTTTGCGAGAGCCGGACAAGAAAACGGGGGAGGAGGAGGAAGAAGAGCCGCTTTGGAAACACGAAGGAGAAATTAATTAATTAGCTGCTCATTTCGGACGAAATAAGAAAAACGAGCGTTCGAGTGTTTTGTTTCTCTCTTCTTTGAACCAGGCGGGATAATTTAAGGGTCCCGGAAGGTTCGCGAAAGTTGCATCTTGAACACAGTTCGACTATTAGTGCACTTTCAGGCGGTTTTCCAGTTTTCCAGGCGCAATAACAGGTTTTCAAAGTTAACGAGAATCGCTTTGAAGTTATATATATTTCGAAACGCAGTAGCACTCGATATCCTCCGATGAGCTCCGCTTGAGTTCCAATCTGCGGCGTCTTCGTTCGCGGATTTCGCAGTGGTTCGACCGAAACTTTTCACTTTTGACCCATCGATCGTCGAGCCGAATTCCTTGAGATTGTCCTTCAACGCACGTTGTCGATGGACAATCTCAAGTCATTCGAACTGTGTCTCGTCGAGAGCAGTGACGACTTAAGATTCAATTACTCGGATTTGGGATTTAAAATTAGACGAAATCGAACTTGCTAAATTCTAATTCGGTCGTCCGCGGTCGAGATTCGTCTCTGATCGAACGATACTATTTAGGAGTTAATAGGCAGGCTCGAATTTTTGAACCGTTCCCAATTGTTAGATATAAATCTGCAGCCGATCGCGTCGAAACTTTCGGATTACGGACTTTTGATAAACGAATTCCGTTCCTTGAACACTTTCCAACTCCTCCAAAGTCGATTAATTGTATCACGCTGAAAATTTGGGAATCTCTCTCTTCGCTTGCAAGTTCCTCGAGCGTTTCGCGAGCGCGTTGCGTCGATACGACATAAACGGAACGGTTCGATCTCGCTGAACTCGGGGTTATAACGAAGCTGATCAACCAAGCAGGACGACGAGGCCCGGCGTTGTTTCATTGGAGCGGGAGCGGCTCGCGTGGAAAATATTGCCAACCCCGTATCTGGGGAGGGTTCCAAAGCGATTTATCGCCGGTCGCGTTCTTTCGAACGCGAGTTTCCTGAAAACGCGCGGTAATTGAATTCCGTTTGAAAGGACACCGGTTTTTTTTTTCTTTTTTTTTTTTAGCCGGTTCAACAGTTTTACAGGCTGCAGACGTGTCCGCGGCTCTCCAATAACGTTTTTTTTTTTTTTTTTTTTTTTTTTTTTTTTTTTTTTTTTTTTTT